CTTTATATCATCATGTATATACTCTTGTGTTCTCACCACCTAAGGTCGAGTCTCCCTTTGTCACCATATATTTGGGCTTCTTTACCCTCTTCATGCTCCCCTCCATCCCGTTCCCCTCTGGTAGCCACCATTCCATTGTCTGCATCTATGAGTTTGTATTTTTGTTTTCTTATTTATTCATTTGTTGCTTTTTGTTTTATATCCCACATGAGTGAAATCGTAGGTTCTTATCCTTTTCTACCTGACTTATTTCACTTAGCATAATACTCTCAAGATCCATCCATGTTGTTCCAAATGTCAAAATTTAATCTTTATTTATGGCTAAGTAGTATTCCATTGTATATACGTGTATTTACCACACCTACTTTTCCAATCACCTGCTGAAGGACACTTTGGTTGTTTCTATGTCTTGGCTATAGTGAATAATACTACAACGAACATGGGGGTACATATATCTTTACAAATAAGTGTTTTCAAAATCTTTGGGTAACTACCCAGAAGAGGATTGCTGGGTCATATAGTAGCTCTATTCTTAATTTTTTGAGGAACCTCCATACTGTTTTCCATTGTGGCTGCACCAATTTACATTCCCCCCAGCAGTGTATGAGGATTCTCTTTTCTCCACATCCTCTCTAACACTTGTTATTTCTTATCGTATTGATAGTAACCATTTTAAAAGGTGTGAGGTGAGGACCAGCCGAGTGGCTCAGTTGGTTAAGAGCTCAAGCTCTGAGCAACAGGGTCGCCGGTTCAATTCCCACATGGGCCAGTGATACTGTGCCCCGAGCTGAGCTGCCATTGAGCTGGTGAGAGTGCGCGCTCTTAACAACAAGGCTGCCTGGTTCCAATGGTGGACTACGCCCGCCCACAACTAAAGACTGAACTGAGCACCTTGAGCTGAACTGCCACCTGGGTGGCTCAGGGGATAGAGCACGTGCTGTTAACAACAAAGCTGCCGGTTTGACTCCTGCATGGGATGGTGGCTACACCCACCCACAACTAATTGAACACAGCACCTTGAGCTGAACAGCGCGACTGGACTTGGAGCTGAGCTAGCTGCGCCCTTCACAACTAAGACTGAAGGACAACAACTTGGCTGTTCCCCTTCCCCAATTCCCCAACACTGTTCCCCTCCCCCAATTCCCCAGTAAAAGTCTTTAAAAAAAAGGTGTGAGGTGGTATCTCATTGTGGTTTTCATTTGCATGTTCCTGATAGCTAGTGATGTTGAGCATTTTTTCATATATCTGTTGGCCTTCTGTATGTCTTTCTTGGAAGTGTCTATTCAGGTCCTCTGGCAGTTTTTAATCGGATTTTTGTTGACGTTGTTGTTGTTGAAGTGTATGAGTTATTCATATATTTTGGATATTAGCCCCTTATCAGAGGTATCATTTGCAAATATCTTCTCCCATTCGGTTGGTTGCCTTTTGTTTTGTTGATAGGTTCTTTTGCTACGCAGAAGCTTTTCAGTTCAATGTAGTCCCATTCAATTATTTTTTATTTCACTTCCTTGCCTTTGGGCCTTGGATAGCTATTCTTTATCCTACTAGATATCAACTGGAATATCACTACTTCAGAAAGGCCTTCCTTAACCCCACTATCTAAATTAGATTGACCCGGTTATTTTTCTTCTCATAATCATCTGCTCTTTTGCTTCATAACATTTATCACAATTTGTAATTATTTATTTGTTTAATATGTTTATTTAATATCATTACACTGGAAGCAATATGAGGGCAAGAACCACTGTATCCTTAATGTGAAGTACTCAATAAATAATGAATGAAACTACCTTATTACAATTACTTTCTTAAAAAAATTTAAATTGTTCAAATAATATAAAAATGTTTCATTATAAAATTCAAATATGTAGAATTATACAAAGAAAAGTGTGCAAATCCCATTATCCTTGCAGAGATCACTGTTATCAGCTTAGTATACGAGTATATGCTTCCAAATCTTTTTGTACAATTACATGCACATGTGTGCATATACAAATAAACATAGATGCACATGTATTTAGAAACTTAAATTGCGCTGTGCTTATGTACTGATCTATGATCTGCTTTTTCACTTAACAGAATGTTTTGGAGAGGATTCCACGGTAGTGCATATAGATCTACCTAATTCCTGTAAACTGCGGCAGTGTTCTATTTAACGGATGTGCCGTTGCTCTAATTTAAAAGGATCCCCATAGCTTTTATTATCTTACTCTAGCAAAATTTTGTATTTAGCATTCCTTTTCTGTTAGCCAAGAGGGTGGGGGGGAATCAGTATTTGGCCATTAGTGTTGATTTAAGGACAATTTGCTTGAAAACATTTCCTTTACAGTATGCTTTTCCTACACTTCCTTTCTATTACATTCACAGAGATAATGTCAACATAACTTGCTTCAATGAACAGAAATAAACCGGGAGGACACAGTGAAGGTTTTAAGAAATCTCAGATAAAACAGCTCAAATTAGGTTTGCTTTTACCATGCCATAAACTAGCCAGGCTCATAAAGATCTAGTATCTATCTTCCTTGCTGAGATATTGAATTCAGATACATATCAGTACGTGTGATAAGTTCTTTTTTCTTACATTCACGTCAACCAGTCCCTCCGTTCTATGAGCAAAGTGTGGAGAGCTCAGGCATCATTCTAGCACAGGGATTGGGGAAATTAAGAGTTCCCATAGGTTCTCTGCTGTCTTCTTAATGCTGTAAGTTCCACAGGGCCAGTTAAACTGAAATTGTCTTGGCGGAAAAGTTTAACTCCTATCTCTACCCCAACATTGTGTTCCAATCTCCAGGTCTACGAAGTCAATATCATCTATTGTGCTAGGACTTTAAAAAGTGGACCCAGTTGATGACACTGTTACTCTGATAAATCATGATCATTTAAACAAAGCTGTAACTAGACACTTTCAGAAAAGTAGACCAGTTCAATGGGCTAAATTCACATGTATGCGTACTATCAATAGATGACCATCCTGTTTTATCTATTTTAAATGGCATGTCTTTTCAGATACCAGTAAGAAACAGGTAGTAACAAAGTGAATAACTTATAGAAAATTTGGGAATCTTCATTTCTGATGATTGAATTGTTATTCAAGGAGAATAATATCTTAGTCATCCTTATAGTGCTAATTGTAACTCTACTATGGTATTTCTGGTAATAGCTCCAAATTAATGTTCTTAATAAAAATATCACATTCAAGGTATTGGTAAGAGCTCAGTCTCTGAAGCCAGATACTATATTTAAATTCTGGTTCTACCAATTTCTAACTATGTGATCTTGGGAGAGTTACTTAATTTTTCCAAGCTTCAGTTGCTTCACCTGTAAAATGGGGATTGAAAACAATGTCTGTCTTTCTGAGGAATTATGACAATGTATATACAGTGTTTAGCACTATGCCTGGCATATAATAAGTGCTCAGTAAATGGAAACTATTACTATTATATTTTTTTAAATTGTTGTTAGGGGCTGGCCGAGTGGCGTGTTGGTTAAGAGATGGCTTGGAAGCACAAGCTCTGAGCAGTAGGGCCACCAGTTCAGATCCCACATGGGCCAGTGACACTGCGCCCTCTACAGCTAAGATGGTGAACAACAGCTTGACCTGGAGCTGGGCTGCCATGAGTTGCCAGCGATGGTGTAGACTGCAGTGGAGTTGCAGTGGACTGCCGTAAGCTACAATGAATGGCTGGCAGCTGGCGTGAGCTGCTGTGAGCCGCTGTCCAATGGCTGGCGACTGACAGCCTCACCCGGTAAGAGCACAATGATAACACCGACATGGGTCAGTGAAGCGACGTCCTCCACAACTAGACTGAAGAACAAAAGGACAGCAACTTGTCTGTTCCCCTTCCCCAATAAAATCTTAGAAAAAGAAAAATTGTTAGGAAGCAGGCTGCAGATAGAGAAAAAGAGTTCAGACAGAAGGATCAGGAAGAAAGCTGTATAAATGTGACATTAAAACCATCATGACAAACTACTACAGGAATGAATTCAGAGTGAAATGATTAAAGACAAATCAAAGGTAGGACCAACTGAAAAGAACATGAAAAATCACTTTTGTGGGAAATTTTTCTGCATGGACAAAAATGCTATACAACTAGTCAAAAGACAAAAGATAAGCTGGGAAAAACATCTGTGACATATTACAAAAAGGGCTACTTTTTTCATATGTAAAGAACAATTATAAGTCAAAAATATAAATATTAACAACTCTGGAAAAATGGACAAAGACAGAACAATAGTTTGTAGAAAATACAATTATTCAAATATAAAACTTCACTTATAATAAGAACAATGCTAATTATAACTGTAAGATACCATTTTCACCTTTCAGATGGGCAATGAACTAAA